TGGAGAAATAGCCAAGAGTCTTACAACTTGCATGTAACAGGAAGACACTAGGTGTGGCTTGAGCATATATGAGACCTGGAAGCTTGTTTCCATCATGACATACTTCTCCAACAAGGCCACACCTATTCCAACAAAGCCATGCTCCCTAATAGTGACGCTCCCTCTGGGGGCCATTTTCTTTCAATCCACCACACATGCACAAGACCCATGCAAGCTCAAACCAGACATATTCCTAGGATGGACAAGGGAGGTGGACATGGAGTCTTACCCATAGCTGAGGAGTTATTGGCCACTGATAGAAGCTAAGAGAGAAATAGTCAATGTCTTCAAGAGTATTGGTCCTGATGAGTCAACCACACTCCAGTGGAAGGCTACAGATCCATGTTTTCGTTTTCCCTTAGTGAGTCAACTTAAACATCTGATTCATGAGACGAGTAAAACACACACACACACACACACACACACACACACACACACACACAAACAACTATTAAAAAAGCATAAATTAAATATGCGTACATATGAGTGAATCTTCCCTCTTACCTATCAACTGCTTTAAGTTACACAAAACTCTGGTGGAGACCCTATGAAGCTCAAGTCAAACAAGACAGACCTGTCAAGTTTATAGATTCTGACATGGTGCACTATATTATGACTTCTTATTTAGGCCCCTCACAGCATTTATTGAAGAAGGCAATAAAATCGTCTAATTTTTCTGTTACCAAAGACTAATTTCTTGTTTGTGTGGAAGCTCAACTTCCATCTTTTCTATGGGAACTATGTGAACATATGATAGCTGATAGTAAATTATTATTGCTATTATCATGGTTACTTAACACATGTATATATTATATGTGGATGCACATGCTACAACATGGTTTTGGAGATCAGAGGGCCATTTCTGCCATCTTTTTGTTGTTTCCATGGATGGAAACAACTTGGATAAGTGCAGGGCCACACCACCATCCACATGAACAGAATTCTGTTGAATGCTGCACACTTTCCAGTTGGGAGACAGTGTCTTATATTTCAGTCATGAGTTAATCAAACAGGCTGAATTCATTTAATGAAAACTGAGACTATTTAATCACATAAACACTATCATTATTTAGATATAGCATTCTGAATAGAGTTAGAAAAATATATATTAATATGGGGTTCTGGGGGATTCCTGACACAAACATTAGCATAAATGTTGCTCAATGATGTTTCATAAACTATCACTCCCACAAAATATTCTGATGTTCTGATATCAAAATTAGGCAAGGAGGGTCCCTGTGAAATACCACAGTGGCAAATTACATAATGCTCTTCCAGCTTAAGGAGTAAAATGGACTTACACTCCTCACTGAAGCATCAATAGCATTATTTCAGAATGACTACAGAGTTCCAATCCGTATTTTAAGGCAAATCAATGAAGAATAAAAAATTTGGGAGTAGAGCTCATTCTTAAAAGGTTAGGAATTTGGAGTTGGCGATGTTCAATTTAATGGTATTTTACTGATTAAAACACCCCAAATAATGTGACAGACTTTGATGGTCCCCCATGGGAGGCCTCAATCTTCATGGGTAGCAGAAGCAGGGTGGAATGGGGGTTCAGTGGGGGGGGGCTGCGAGGACAGGAGGGAGAGAGAACTAGGATTTGTGTGGAAAATAAGGTTTAATTTACATAAAACATTACAGATTTGAATTTGGAAAACAACACATGATGTTCATTGATTAGTCAGTCTACTTATTTGGGTAGGATTGCAGTGCCTGAACAGAGACCAATAGGCTAGAAATTTCACCTAGGACAATAGTAATTAGTTCTTCTTTAGCAACTAATTTAATTACAGAAACTGAATTGATTTCTAACATCTTAAAGCCTTCAGACATTTCATAATTGGTTACTCATTCTCATACTGGTAGTTCTGATGATTGTAGGGTATAGGTCATGCTTACATATTATACTTACCATAACAAGGGGAAGATGAAAAGTTCCTGTGATGGAAAGACACAATCTTACAAAGAAAGAAGACATCAGTGGAGGGTTGGAGTCCTAGTTTATATTAGTCTTATGTATTGTTTCAGAATTCATTTTATTGATCTGACACTTCACCTCTGATGGTCATAAATATTAATATGCAGCTATGTTATCATCAGCTGAACTGTAAAATCAAATATCAGAAATAATATGGACAAGTGAGAAGAGGTTGTGTGTGTGTGTGTGTGTGTGTGTGTGTGTGTGTCTGTTTGTTTTAGCTCTTTGTGGTTCCTGTGATAGTTAAAGTAGACAGATAACTGTGCTTTGCCTGGAGCTAAGCAGGCAAGAAGGAAGACAAAATCAGTCTGAAGGACTGTCACAAATAGTGAAGCCTCTAAATAGCATTGGGAAAGAGATTCAGTCCCAGCCCTTAGGGCACTCATGTTCTAACAGGTGAACAAACCATAAAAATCTATCTATCTATCTATCTAGCTATCTATCTATCTATCTACCTACCTATCTATCATCTATCTATCTATCTACGTATCTATCATCTAACTATCTATCTATCATTCATCTCTTTGTGTACAATCTAAACATAATAGATACCCAGGAGAGAAATAAATTGTGAAAGAGGTAAGGACAATGAATCAATATGTTGAATAGAGTTATCAGTGATGCCATGAACCTGTCACAACAGCCCTATATAATTTAAGGCAACCAATGAAGTTAATTTAGATTTGTAATTGAAAAGTTCCTGTACATGCAGGTTCAGAAGATGCAAAAGTAAAGGGGAATATCCATGTTAATATTTTAAGAAGAATCTTCAAAACTCTAGAGTTATCAGTGAGATTGCATGTTGCATAAACAAAATGTGACAACATGTAAGAACACTAGGATGTGACAACTGCATTAGAGAGAAATCACAGAAATGGCAGGGGGGCAAGGGTAGTCTACATTTATATGGTGCACATGGATCACAAATGTAGCCAGATTGCATTGACCTTGCATGATTTGATGAATTTGGTCAGTTATTTCAACAGTCAGACTACAATCAGACAAACACTGTTAAGCAAAGTGATAAATGATAAAGATACACTGTTGGCCTGGAAATATATTCCCTACCATGTCTAATATATATATATATATATATATATATATATATATATATATATGTCTCACTGGATAAGATAGAAATGAAGTTAGTATAAGGTATAATATATGAAAAAGTGATGCATGTCATTGATATTTACTATAAAAGTAGGTTAACGTAGCCTGCAGTCTATGTCCAATATATATATATATATATATATATATATATATATATATATATGTATGCATCAAAGATATATTACAGGTGACATATACTTAGGCTAGCTATACTTAGGAATATATATGTAAAATATGTATGTAGGAATGTACATGCATAAAATAACAATTAGTGAACAAAAGAGGTCTTGACTCGAAGATTAGGGAGGAGTGCATGGGAGGGTTTGGAGGGAATAAAGGAAAGGGAGAAATTTGTAATTAAAATGTTATTTCTTTCTATATAGATAGACACATAGATAGGTATATGGAGGTAATACTCCTAAACAAAATAGATTTATTAACTGTGTCTAACACATTTTACCTGATAAAGTCATTCAAAGGTCTTTCTATTATAATAGTTTTACAAATCAATTTCTCCAATGCTTTTTTATTTTTAAACCCTTTGCATATATTACCCTGCTTAATATTCTTAATAGTTGTGATTGAAGTGAATACATTATGATCATTTTCATTTTAAAGATCCGTAAATGGATCCTCTGAACATTTAAGTAACTTATCGAAAGCCATACAATGAGGCTGTGATAAAACCTGACCTGGCCTCACTACACATACATGTATCTAGTCTAACTACATAGACTACTTACTGAACCTAGAACTAAATATTTCCTTGGAAAACCAAAGGAAGAATGAATATAGTATCATCAATCTTCAGAATGAGGTCTATGGAGGAAGGATTCCAGATGATACTCAAATAGTAACTATGCACACACAATTAAGAAGTACTCAATTTATTGTGACATTACTCTATAATTGTGTCTTGACAAAGATTAATATTGGGCTTGGACATGTAGCTACAAAATGTGGCTAGATCTTAATGATTGTACATGCAAGGAATTCCTTGATATTTTTTCCTTTCTAGTTTTCTATAGCATTACTAATCAGAGGATCTTATCTGACAGCCACCTTCTCTGAGTTTTTTATTGAGTATACAAATATCCAGTTTCTTCGTCGATTTCTGGGTTGAGGATCTTTCCAAGTTCTTCTAGGGAACTTTCCTCAGCGTTCTCTCAATATCACACAATCTCAAGCCTCTTGGCAAGACTTCTATTGAAGTTCTTGTTTCTAGGATATTCAATTGTCAACCTTAAGACTTGATGCATTTATGTTCCTCGGTCTCTTAGGAAATCATTAGAGAACGCTACTCAATTTTCAGCTGAATTTGCCACCTTCATAAATGAGCATCCTCTATTACTCTCACATTGCATGGTGAGTTTATATTTCTAACGTTGGAAGTTAACATCTATTAATATTATCTTATACTACCTGACATGCTACTAGCATTTGTTATTTTAAAATACTTTCATTGCCTTATCATAAATAATACATATTCAATCTCACTTTTTATACTACATTTTCCTACTAATTATAAATTATCAAAATACACGTCAAGGCTTAAAACAGGGAAAGGTAACTTAAATCATGTATTTTTGTGTGTACATTTCTCTTATTGGTGTTTCTGACTGTGGACTGATATATACTATACACAGGCTGGTGATGAATATTCATGTCAGCCTAGTAGAAAGTGGCAACATGCCAGGTCTTATAATAAGTGTCGTGTGTGCCCTATTTATTTAAGATTTGTATCAAATCTATGCATAGATAATTAATGTACAATGTGAACTCCATTCCAAAAAGTCACTAGAGATTAAAGACACAATTTAAAATAGGAACGAATAAGAAACAGTTTGTAAATTCAAAAATCACTTACAGGAACCAGGAATTTTTTAATCTCTTCCAAGGCATGACTCATCCGTGAATAGGCCTCCCCAGGTGGAGCAAAAACTTCAATTAATACATGCAGCTCGTCGCTCAGGTGTGCGTACTTGGCCTCCCCACTCTTCCTCAGCTCTTCTTCCTGTGAAAAGGTTATTTTTAGAAATAAGCAGCCACTCATTTTGCATTGATTTAACATTTCCTGAAATGGTGACAGGGCCACAATCTAAGTCAATTTTCCAAAACTAGCAGGAAACTCTTGGAGAAATAACGATCTGCTACAAGCCAGCTGAAGATTTTCAAATAATTCTTCAGAGTTGAAATCATCCACAACAGATTTCAGTCTGCTGGGTGAAATGTTAACTTTCTGACGTTGAAATCCCTAAGTGCTGTTAATTCTTGCACGCACATTGCTACATTCCTGAAGGACAAGGTTCTTTTGTGTATAGTATATAGAACTTCCTGTATGGTATATAGTACTTAATGGCCTTTGCTGCTCTGGCAGAGGACAGGAGTTGGGTATTCGTCGGATTCCATTCACCTGAATTCACCTGTAAATCCAGCCCTTCTGCTCTGTTGCACACACACACACACACACACACACACAGAGGCAGGCAGAGCTAAGAAAAGTTGCATCCATGCTTCCTCTTTGCTGGCTTAGCCACACCTTTCTTCACTCACACAGGCCTAGCTTGGGGAATGGTACCACCTACAGTGGGCAGAGTCAACTGACAATCAAGACAGTCTCTCTTGGATAAGCCCACAGGCCTAGGTAAGATGATTCCTCAGGTGAGACTATCTTTCCAGGTGATTCTCCAGTGTAGCAAGTTGGCTTTTAAAATCAGGCACCATGCCTTAATTTACTAAAGATCCCTTGAACAGAAGTGCAAATGTAACTTAAAGGAGCATACTGTGTGAAGCTAGCATATTACTGTTTTTTGTTTGTTTTGCTTTTTTATTTGTTGTTGTTTTCTTGGTTTTTTTTTTTTTTTTTTTTTTTTTTTGAGACAGGGTTTCTCTGTGTAGCTTTGGAGCCTATCCCGGTACTTGCTCTGTAGGCCAGACTGGCCTCGAACTCATAAAGATCTGCATGTGTCTGCCTTCTGAATACTGGGATTAAAGGTGTGGCATATTGACCCAGAGTGGTCTGAGCAATGTACATTAGGGGACAAAACCAGCAACAGGAGAGTCCTTTCTTATCTACTGACTTATACATGCTCAACTTGATCTATTAGAAAATAATAAACAGTATACATTTTCCTTGAAGTTGAATAAACTAAAATAATATACAACATTAGAGAAGGGGATGACTAGAATTTCTACTTGGATTAAAATTTTGTAACTCACCTATGACTTGCATTTAGTTCTGATACTTAAAACGTGTTTGAGAACACTGTTTCCCAAACAACTTGTCTTCTGTGTTGTTTCCAGGACAAGAGACTTTGAAAGGAGCAGAGTAGAGAAAAGGAAAGAATTCTACAGATCGTGTAGTCCGGATGTGAATTAACGTACATAGTATTTTCTACATGTGGTGTATGTGAGCCTAGATTCTTATGGGAAACAAAGTAAGTTAAGTGGTGACGGAAGCCTGTACACCCTGCTCCAGTGGAGCTAAAGCAAGAGAAGCCAGTGTACAAGAGCCAAATGGGTAGGAAGGGGGAGCTCTTCCTCCACATTACAGGGATAAAGAGATAAATGGTAAGCCAGCAAGCCAGCTTGAGATTTCCATACAAAGATGACACTGGGGAATGCAGACAAGCTCCAAATACCTCTCTGTTAATACCAGAGAAGTTACAGCTTTCTGTTTCCTCTGGGACAGAGCAATTCATTTGATCATGGGCTTCTTTTCATGATTTAATTTTTTTTTAAAATTTTATCTATCTTTTATTGATTCTTTGTGGATTTCACATCATGCATTCTGATCCCACTGATTCCCCCTCCCCTCTCTTCTGCCCTCTGCCCATGGGACCTTCCATGACACAAAACAAAACTTCAAAGGAAAACCAAAACTCAACCACCCCACCATCACCACCACCACACACACACAAAAGGAGAAGAATCTTGTTTTTGGAAGCTGTAGTGTGGCCTATTGAGTCACACGCTTTACCCTGTAGCCCACGGATCTTGTAAGTGTTCATTGCTATGAGTTATGGTGTGGTCTTAGGCCTCTGACTTATGCTACGCTGTCAACAATGGGCTGTCCCTGGGGTTCCTATTGAATATCCTGTTGTTGTCCTATGTCCTGGGGATCCTGCATTTTTGGATCTGTAGGTTTGCCCCCTTCACATGCTCTGACAGTTCATAGAGTGATTTGGGGTGGGCTAATTCACAAGTCTGATTCTGGGCCTGGGTGACAGATACCTGGATTGATCAGCCAGCAAGCTTTCCGTCATCACTGCCCAGGCTAGCTCTCCAGCACAGCCTCAGCTAGCTTACGCAATGCAGTCTACAGCAAAGGGAGGGGGCCAGTTCTCCCGCTCTCAGGGCCCGAGATCCTGCTCAGCTTAGCTCACATCACCAGTGCCAGCTCTACTACTGTGCACAGGTGAGGTGCAGAGCACTCTCTCCTGATTGCTGTAGGTACCGGGGGGGGGGGGGGGGTGGGGTGGGGGGGGGGGGGGGGGTGGGGGGAGGCAGCATCAGCTCTTCTGCTCTCACACTCTCAGGCCAGGTCATCTATGCCCCATCAACAGGGTCAGCTCTAGTGTGTTGCCCCGCCCAGTGAGTTGCAGTCCTGTGGTGCCATGCCTGTGGTGCGTGCCTAGCATTTCATGATAACCGATATTACTAGTACCCATTTGGCAAACATTGACTTCACTATTGGGGATGTCTAACTGCTTATCTACAAAATGCTGAAAGGAGTAAGAATAATCGCGTCGCAAGAAGTAATCTCATATCACTATTGGTAAATGTTCTCACCATACATATCTCATATTCAAAACAATGTATCAAATTATACATGAACAAAGGAGTTCATGCCTTCTAAGATCCAAATTAATTTTCCACAGGTAACTTTTCCAGTGAAACAAACTAAACAATAGAAAAGTTGAAAATGCATAATGTACAGTATATGCAGGCTTATACTTTGGTTTTTACTTTAACAGACATTATTGTCATATTTTATCCTAAGAGTTATAATTTACTAAAGTGCTTTTTGCAGGCTTTTTCTTCCTAATGCCCGAGGGACATTTCGTCTAACATAAATCCACTTCAGAAATAAATAAGTCTATTGTCTGCAGGACTCTCACCATCAAGAAGCTCAAATAAACACACATTTATTATTCATATTGTGGCCTGAATGGGATTTGTGCAAATCCCCAGTTTAAAAGCATTTTTAAGTAGGCGTATGTAGAGAAAATTTAAGTGAGTATAATAAGTAGTACAAATTATATACACACAAAAGAGATGCACACAAGTACATAGTACAGAAGTAATCGCTAAATTCTAAGCAATAGCTCCGCTCTGGTTGTCTGTAATTCCAAATACCGGGTCTCCTGCTCCTGCTTGTGGTAAGAGTTCCCCTAGACTAAAGCCTTTCATATTCCAAGTGATCAGCTCTATGAAGGGAATCTTTTTAAAGGTTATAAATTGCACACTCTGTAGTTTTGCAAAAGGTACAGTTTAGGAAGATGGCTGTCTTAGTTAGGGTTTCTCTTGTTGCTATGAAACACCATGACAAAAAAGCAAGTTGGAAGGAAAAAGTTGCTTCTGCTTGCACTTCCATATTGCTGTTCATTATCAAAGGAAGTCAGGACAGGAAACTACAGGCAGAAGTGATGAGTGCTGTAAACTGGCTTGCTCCCCATGGCTTGCTCAACTTGATTTCTTATAAAACCCAGGACTACCAGCCCAGGGATCGTACCACCCACAGTGGGCTAGACCCTTCTCCATCATTCAGTATTTAAAAAAAATGCCATATAGGCCTGCCCACAACCTGATCTTATGGAGGCATTTTCCTAATTGAGGTTACTCCTGTCAGAAGATTCCAGCTTGTGTCAAGTTGACGTAAAATTATCCAGCATGGAGGCCTAGTAACTACATCTTGACCGTTGGGTAAAAAGTTTTCCTTCTTAGAACCACTTGTCTTGAAGAACTTTGGGCACCAGAACTAATAAGACCAGTAGGCAGGCATTTTTATGAAAATGGACTTAAACTATTTCCCACTAATGGCTAACCTACAATTCCAAATACACCCTACCCAGGGCAATTATTCTTCATGCTGAAGTTGTACCTGAAGCAGGAACAATCTGAGAAGAACCATTTTGGTTCCCTTAAGAAAGGATAATGTTTCTGGGCAGTGGGTGGCACACATCTTTAATCACAGCAGCAGTGAGGCAAAGGCAGGCAGATCTCTGTGAGTTAGAGGCTGCCCTGGTCTACAGAGTGAGTTCCAGGACAGCCAGGTCTATTTCACAGAGCAACTATGTCTCAAAAAACAAAACAAAACAAAACAAAACAAAAAAAAAAAAAAGAAAGAAAAAAAGAAAAAAAGGAAAAAGCAAAGAAAGTATACTGTTATCAAAATCAATAATGATTTCTTGTTGCCTAACTTGAAGAACCAGAACTGATACAGTGATCAACTAGACCACAGCTTGATCATGGATACTTAATACACAGGGTTTATGTCCCCTGCCTCCATTACTCCTCTATTCTAACTCAAAGCACATATCAGTGCCCAGGAGTGAAATGATCAGTCACTAGAACCTCCATCTCTCTGCTTGGCATTACTGAAACTATTTACTCTTCATCTTGGCAATGCAATGATTACATCTCCTGCCCATGCTTTTTACCATTATGTGGTCCTGACTGACCTATCAGGATGGTTGTACGAATCGAGTCTTGATTGTGGGGAGCACGGGAGCTAGATTATTGCTATGGTTATAATCAGTGGAACCAAGGATGTCCTTTAAAAAATAGTCCAAGATTCTGACATAGATAAATCAGTGTGGCAATACTGAAGTCTATCATGAAATTAGAAACAGTACCTTTCCTGATTTTAATATCAACCCTGATTGGGGAAGAGCAAACCATGCTCTGTCGGTTACAGCAAGGCTGCCTTCACTCCCCAAAGCAGAAAGTGGTGCTGTCAGAAATTGTGTCCTGATGAAATGCAAAGGCCCTGTTGTTAGCTCTTCCAGGAGA